TATTGCTTTTGTTTCCAATAAAACTGACACCAGCACCCTTTGTACCATAATAATTCACTCCAGCACCATTTCCATGCTTGTGGTACATCAGAATGACTACTTCACAATCATGTTGATACTGGAGGATATCTGCCTATGGATATACAAATTTATAAAAAAACTATATGAATTAAAGATAATAATTAAAGCTGATATAATTATCACTATATACAATCACTAAATAACAGAAATGTAGTACCCTTTTTAGCTTTCAACAACAAAAAGAAGACAATAAGGACAAGTATCTTCTCATATTCTGTGTACTGATCATAATAATACTGTTTTGAAGTGTGAATTAAGCTATCTCCTTTTACTCCACAAAAAGCAGAAAACAATTTCCCAGACTTAAAAACAAGCGATATTAAAGACTTGGTTACTTAAAGCATTAGATGGTCAAAATTACACCTTGATTTTTTAAATTCATACCAGTACATAAGAATAGTAAGTACACAGATTGGTGCTGTTTATACATAGTTAAAGTAATGTGSATATGATTTTATAACTTTTAATAGGAACATAATTATTCTTTATGGTTCATTGTTTACTGGTATGTTACTTACACGAAATTCCATAATTTCTCGCTGTTTTGTGATGTTTGTAGCACMCATGTTATAGRTCTTATCCCAGTCTTTCTGTCTCTTTGGGTATGGATTGCCAMAACTATGGCAACTTTTTTTTGCAACTGGGTTCTCAAAACCACAATTGAGGCAACTCTACATGAAAGAAAAAAGATGTTGACAATCAGAATGAAGGTGAAATGTTTACATTAACAAAATCTACTGCTTTTGTATTTATATAGTTACAATCAATGGCAATGATCTTTGAATTTGAATTTAAAATTATTTGAAAATTYCCCTACCGYTTGTGCAACCAGCCACTGCATGSCCTAAAATAGTGTGTTGCAGGTTACAATTGACTGTTCTCAAAATTCCAGTTTAAGCAAGTATAGTCTTGAATGTGTGTATAAATCAGTTGTTTATTCTATTGTTTTCTATAAGAAAGAAGCCATTCCCACGTGTACTAGGAATTTTAAGCATAGTAAATNTTGCAACACTGATATACTAGTAAAGAAATTTTGATATGATCTGTGAACTATTGCACAATACACTTAAGTTTACGTACCTTTTTAAGCAAAGCAAAAATGCTTTACGTTCATAACATACTTATGTGGAAGATCCGGAAATGCAATTTCACAGCAGACAATATAACATAACAGTAAGATTAGATTTTTCTGCAATGAAAAGCGTATCGAACCATATTATTAGCAACTGGTTGCTTTCTGAATCTCTTCCTTAAGCTTATATCACATTTGACGACCTGGATTGCTTAAAAAAAATATCCAGTGAATACTTTTGCTTGACAAATAGCATCCAGGTGATAAGACATGTGAGGTATCTACTATACTCAAATATGCCACCAAATTGTAGGCAATAAGGCAAGAATTATAATTGGAAAATTAAACGAGACTTACCTGTAAGTTGAAGTTTGATTGAGATTCTATCACATGACGGACAGAGTTAGGAGATCACATGAGATAGCACAGCGCATGCGCAAGACCATTCTTTAAAGATGTGGGTGTGAGAAGGGAAAACAATCCAAACACACTCCAAACAATATAGATAATAAATTCCACCCCCATAGGGAGGGACAATAAAAAAGGGTGGGCATGTGATCTCCTAACTCTGTCCGTCATGTGATAGAATCTCAATCAAACTTCAACTTACAGGTAAGTCTCGTTTGGAGATCCCATGAGACTTCAAAGCCTTTGAAACACCCACCAAAGACTGAATTGGAACAAGTATTTCAGTCCTAATAGTATTTATATTTTTAATAGTATTGTAGTAGCAGTAAAAATATATAACTGTAGTACATAATATTTTTTCCTCCCTTTACAAGGACATTTCAGTGAATTAACTGCTATTAACTGTAACAAATTTGAAAAAATGTGTCTTATAAAGCCTAATGGGTTAATACAGCAGAGGCCATAATATCATTGTGAGGCCTAATTGGCTTGTCATAAAACTTTGTAAATGTACTTGTAGTACTCCAACCAACATGGGATAAAATGACATCAAGTGGTACATCTTTCTGTTTTGCTTTTGAGGCACTTGCAGCCCTTGTGCTATGACTTGTAAACATTGTAGTATCAATGCCTGACTTTTGCAGTACTGTCTTTGTCCAGCGGGAGATTGTATCCCTTGACACAGGTTTATGAGGTTTAACAAAGCTTAGAAACAGCTGCTCATGGTTTCCTCTCATAGGCTTAGTGCGACGGATGTACTCTCTTAAGGTGTGTATTGGACATATACCACGATCCTGGTTAAATTCTTGAACTCTAATGGTTGTTGTAGGTTGTCCTGGTTTGCTTGTCGTAGTGTGACTAGTCAATTGAAATGAACAGGATGTTTCACCTAGGCACATATTTGTAACATTTAACAGGTGTATAGATTGTCCTCTTTTCCCTGTGACCAGTAGAAACAACATAAGCAATTTAAGTGTCAAGTCCTTTAACTGCAATTTTTCAACTGGGTTCAATGTGTCCAAGTAGTCCAAGACTATGGAGGCATCCCATATTCTGTCATATCTAGGTTGAGGTGTCCTTTTTTCAAAAACTCCTTTCATAAAGCGTACTGTAAGCGGATGCGATCCAAAGTTTACACAGTCTTTCACTTGTAATATTGATGAGAGTGCTGATCGCGCAGTATTCAAAGTTGAATAGCTAAGACCAGTTGCATATAACATTGCTAAAAATTCTAGAGCTTCATTGATTTGTGGGGAATAACAATCAGTTTGTCTTTCACTACAAAAGTTGATCCATTTCTGTATGTATGTTTTATATTGTTTTTGAGTACCATTTCTCCAGGAAGCCATGATGATGTCTGTAACGTTGCTAGAAATGCTGTATTTTTAGAATGAATTCCTGATACAGGACAGACCATCAGTTTGAGTTTCTGCCATAGTGGATGTGGTTCCTGATGTGCTATGTGCTGAATCAATTTCTTGTCTGGACCCACAATCCAAGGATGTCTGTAAAGTTGTTGCAGTAGAAGAGGGAACCATGGCTGGCTTGGCTATAGTGGCACTATTAAAATTCCTTGTGTCTTGTCTTTCCTTATCTTCTGGAGGCAACGTGGAATCAGGCTAAAGAGTGGAAAGGCATAGAAATTATAAGTATTCCAGTTAACAGAAAATGCATCTACAAATGAGCATGCAGGATCTGGTTTCCATGAGCAATAAGTGTCAAACTTATTATTTAGCCTCGTAGCAAATAGGTCTATATTGAGATCAGGGTATTCTACTGTAATATCTCTAAAGATGACCATGCTCAAGCACCACTCATGCTTATCATTGAAATGCCGAGACTGTTCATCTGCATCTATATTAGAAATCCCAGGGATGTGGACAGCAGATACCCATATCTCTCGTGAGATTACCCATTCCCACAGTTCTTTGGCTAAGTTATTTAATTCAATAGACTTAGAGCCTCCCATATTATTAATGTAAGCCACAGCTGTGGTGTTGTCCAGCTGGAGTTGAATATGTGTCTGTTTATAATCCTCTGCAAAGGATTTCAGACCAAACAGTGCTGCCTGCAACTCCAAAATATTAATGTGCTTACAGGCTTCAGATGGGGTCCACCTTCCCCCAATCTTCCTGCCATTAAGTACTGCTCCCCACCCCTTTTTTGAAGCATCTGATTGGAGGAGCAATGTTGGGGTGGGGTAAGATATGCACTTCTTAGCCTGTTGTGCATGCATAATCCACCACCTCAGCTCATTCATTGCTTCCACTGATATTTTCATAGAGGCACTGAAATTCCCTGAATTATTTTTAAGTGCAGTAGTTTTATCATTTTCAAGTACTCTGTAGTGTAGGGGTCCATATTCTGCACCCGGGAATAGTGATATTATAAGCCCAATTACTCTGGCTAAATCTAATATGCAAGGTGTCTTCTTCCTGAGAAGCTGCTCGCATGCTTTGACAGTCTTCTCTATCTTTTCCGGTGTAGGTGAGACTATCATATTAATTGAGTCAATGATAAACCCAAGAAATGTCAATTTTTGTGAGGGGATAAATACAGACTTGTGTGGGTGGATATAAAAACCCAGTTCGGTGAATATCCTAGCAGTGCATAAAATATTTTGCCTGCATTCACTTATACTATCTCCTTGTAAATAGGAATCGTCAATATACCCAACGCTTACATAACCCTGGTTGTGCAGGGTAGAAAAAACAGGCTTAAGCATTTTAGTAAATACGCGTGGGGCGCTTGAAAGGCCATTTGGGAGACAAGTGTATTTATAAAGGCAACCCTTGAATTCAAATTTCAAAAATTTTTGGTGATCCTTGTGTATAGGTACTGTATAGTAAGCATCTTTTAAATCCACAGATGCCATATAACAACCTGGTTTAACCATTTTTAATACAGTGTCAAGAGTATCCATCTTAAAGTGATGGTACTCAACTGATTGATTAAATTCTTTTAGATTAAGAATCATACGATAAGACCCATCTGCTTTAGGTCTAACAAAAATTGTAGATATATATTCTCCTGGTTCATGAAATGAGCGTTGAATTACTCCCTTAGAAAGGAGAGTTGTAATTTCTTGTTGAACAATTTGTTGTTCCTGGAGATTGAACACGCTTGGTCGGTAATGCGTTTGTACCGGCGACAGATTTTCTTCAAATGAAATTTTTACGCCGGAGACATAACTAAGAATGTTAGAATCGCTTGTTATCTTACGCCAGCAGAGCATAAACTCTCTGAGTTTGCCTGCTTTGAAGGTCGTAAGGTCGTGTATAAATTTACAAACGTCATTTGATCTTACCTCAGTGGTTATTGTTTGTTGTTGTTGTTGCTCCCCTCTTTTTTCCTGTGTCGAGGAGAGCTGCCCTTGGACCAAAAATCACGTCCACGGTAAGGGACATATCAGTTGTTCCCTTTCTTGCCATAGCGTCTATTATCGCGCTTGTTGTAATTTGACTGCGTTGATGAGGAATAAGGGCGGACTTTCTTTGTGAGTCTGTTAGCATCCGTTATGTCCTTAGCTAACTTCGACAAATCTCCGAAGAGATATTCTGACGCTTGATCCATTGGTGAGCTACTGCACAACGCAGCGTAATCTTTGTTAAGATCGTTTTTCATCGCCTTTCGGCGAGCGGTATTCAAGTCGTGATGACCTTGGAGCGTGAGCGCCATGGCGTCGGTCATTAACTTTATCAACTCCTTATTATCCTTTAGTTCGGATTTTAGGATTGTGTCTGTGGCTTTGATCATTGCCACAACGCCTGCTACAATAGCATTCTGCGATTTTTGTGTCTTGGAGTCGTTAGTCTTGGATGGAGCTGATATTTGGCCCCAGATTAGGGGATTCACATGTGGGGTCCTCAAGCCAGTCACGTTTTGAGGTCGAGGGTACATATCAACTTTCTGTTGAATTTTCTCCTCCGGTAGCTTCTCTTTTAGTAGAGAATTTACAATTCCAGCCAGATCGTCGCTGGCAGCTGGGCCAGTTTTTTCACTGGCATCTAAGTCCCGCGCTATATCAGCAAGAATGTTTGGCTCCTTGTTCGAGTCGGCGGTCAATTTCGCCACTCGCGTTTCAAGTGACTCGTTGGCATCGTTGCCATCGTTAGACGAGAGTTCGTCTTCGAGGTCCACAGGCTCGTTTATGTTCAGTATGTTCTCATTCATTTTCTTCATCTGCTCTAAGAGAGCAGCAAACATCGTGCCCGTGTCTGGGGGCGTCCACTTGGCGATCTTCGTTGTCTTGCTCGTTGTCCCCCATTTTGGCGGGAAATATGTTATTCCCTGTTCTAGCTCAACTACGTTGAGCAATTAGTCTGAAAACGTTCAAGACTTCAGTTCTGCCAACTACGTTGACAGTATAGTCAGATTAGAGGTCTACTACGTAAACCTACTCGCTAAATAAATCCAAAAACACTCAGTGTCGATGAAGTCAATGTAGTCTTGGCAAGGCAAGCTATGCAATGGTCTTGCGCATGCGCTGTGCTATCTCATGGGATCTCCCACTCTGGTAGTCATGTGACAAATTACAGTCGCCATATTGGATTTTCGGTGGATTTTCGATCGTGGAAAAGACCTCCCAGAATACTATTCGCCGACAAGCGTGCATTGGATTGATGATAATTATGAATTCAAAGGCCAAAACGAATTGATGACAATCGTGAATCTCGCCTCGAGACCATGTTGCAAAACTAGACGCATAACTGCGTAAACTTGGGGTTCTTGTTGATAAAATAGTAGTGAATTTGGTAAGGCTCGGTTACACTTGCGTGTTTGCCATACATTTACTATGTTATGAGACAACATTTCCATATTCCTATTTTTAGAGTTATGTCTAGTAAATTCCAGTATGTTCTAGAATGTTCTAGTAAGCTAGTCATCTGGTGATCGTTTATTTCTACCTGTGCCTTGCATTAGTTAAACAAACACTTCTTTTTGACATAATCATGATTAGACTAAGATAAAATATCTCTTTCATACAATACGTATTTGTTAGCTGTTTCAAAGTTCACATAGGATTCTAAGACATCTTCTTCCAAATAACTTCAATATAACTGTTCAATATAACTTTGTAGTAAGTTAGTCCTTTATTAGAGCTACCTTCAGTCTTAATTTTATATCTGAATTCAACTTAAAACTACCCTGGGGCATAGCATGTTCGCATTCTACCCAAGTTAAACATATCATTAATTATCCATCAAAAGTATGTCTTAGCCAATCATACTTCAATATAGTTTGCCAATAACTGTCAGTATGCACTTGTAAAAATATGCACTATAAAAAGGCAGAT